AAGAGGTTTAAAGCTTAAACAGGGACACACTCCAGTTTTGGTTTAACTAAAGCTTGGGAAAATCATTGCCCCAAATGCATTTCTGTGGATCCAGATCCCATTGCAATGCCGTGCTGGATGATGAACAGTTGGTGCCTGGAGTGGGATCTGCTCCCTGGGGTGCTAAAAACCCCCTCAGTGCTGTGGTGCCAATTCACCCCTGGTGTTTTGGGCAGAACCTGGCTCTCATTTCCAAAGGACTGACCCTGTGTGGACCTGCAGGACGAGGCCTTGAGCCCTCGGTGGTGCTTGTGCTGCTCAGCTGCAGTGCGTGGGCAGGGCGAGGCTGACGCAGTGACTTGGCTTTGGAGGAGCAGAGCAGGGACCCAGGGAGCATGGACCTGACTCCAGCAGTGTCTAGGGATGGTGAGAGGTCCTGAGGTGACACCCTGAGGGCTTCTCTGGTGTGTTTGTCCTCAGCACTCCTGAAGTGCCTCTGGAAGCACTGCTCCGTGCACGGCCACGCTGAGGCCGCTTCTCACGGGTGGCTCTGCAGTTGTTGGAGCCCAGCTCTACCCTTTGGGAGGAACCAGTGCTGCTGCTGTCCCTGAGCCAGACTGGGACAGCAGGAGTGGTGCTTTCCATAGCAAGGCAGCCCTCCTGGTAGAAAGATGTGACAGGAACGATTATTGTGTCCTATAAGATCACAGGAGCTGTTTCCCAAAGAGGATGTGGATAGGGATAAAAGCTCCGAGCTGGTATCCTCTCTCTCCCATGCCCTTCTGCAGTTGTGGTCCACATCTCTTAGCAAAGTTTTTCCCCCAGTTCAGTGAGTTCCCTGTTCAATGCAGATTCTGGAGACTGGAGGAGCCTGTCACTGGGAGAATGGGGCTGAAGATGAGACATCCTTCCCCCTTTACTTCTCCCCTGTGGCTGTGTTTCGTTTTTGCTGCCTCTCCCCATCCTCACAGCAGGGATGGAGCCAGTGGAAAGGCTGTGGGGGTTTGGCTGTGCTGCTTTGCTAACAGGGGGTGAGCAGGGCAGGGCATTGTTGTGTGGTCCCTGCATCTGGCAGGAGGATTTAGGAGAAGTGAGTTTAGGGCTGGGTACGTATCTGTACCTGCCACGTGGCTCCTCTCCCACCGGTGAGTCTGCTGAATGAAATGCATTCAATTAGCAGCCCAGGAGGGCTGAGAAACAGGATTAGTCAGGCTCTGGCTGTGTCCCAGGGGCCAGTGAGTCACCCCACCTTTCCCTTCTCCCCACCCTGCAGCCTCCATCCGTGTGCTCCATCACGGCAGTTTTCTCCTGGGCAGGTTTGGCTGTGCACAGACTTCAGGTGGAGAGGGGTGTCCAGGATGTCACCAGCTGTGCCCCGGGGAGCTCAGCTCCAGGGATGGCTTGGCAGAGCTGTGACTGGGGGAAGGCAGGACTTTGTTTTACTGCCTGTGGGGACACAAGGAGGTGGAGAGTGGAGTAGAGGTAACAGAGAAGGGTGAGCTGGGGACTGAATCCTGCCACAAGCAGCCAAGGATGGGTTTGTCACTAGGAGGGAAAGTAGGAGTAAAAGTAACTGGACCATCTGCCCTTTTGTGAGAGTTTATCAAGAGCAGAGCTGTGACATGTGGCTTCACTTGCACCTCTGAGGACAATGAGGGGAAGAGGAGGGGCTGGAGAGTGAACCCATCTGTCGCCCTGCTGTCTGACAAGGCAGCTCACAAACACATGGGAGAAGTGCTGGCAAAATGAGCAGAGGAAATTTGTCTCCTCAAGCATAGCAGGCTGTTGATCTGAAAAACCAGATTGAATAGTTTTTCTACCACCCTTTGGTTTTGAGGGTGTTTTTCCCCTGTTTTTTCAGCTGGATTTCCCTTTGATTTCTCCCAGGATAGAAATGTGTATCTATCGCTGTGTATGGGAAGCAGCACTGCTGGGAAATGAGCTGCCTTATCTCTGCCCTTCTCACGGTGCCTCTCGGGCAGCCCTCGCAGCACTCCGGCCTCTCCATCCTTGCACGAGTAGCTGGGCCCTTCCCTACTTTGCAATTCCCTTTATTCAGGCTCTGCCCTTGGTAACCAAGGCACTGAGACAGGAGATCACATAATAAATACAAAGAGCAGAGGGACAAAGGGGTAAAGCTGAACACAAACCAGAATGTCAATGGACTCTCTGAGTGAATAAAGCCAGCTCTGAAAAAGTTGGGAAAGGGATAGGATGTTTGGAGGAGGTTACACCAAGGTGCACAGAGTGTGTAGCTCCTGGAAGGCCTTGCCTTATTGTCCAGGTAGAGTGACACCTCTGAAGGCATTTGATCATCAGGTTTGCTCCTAAGGACAGGCTTTTGTTCACCTTGCCCTGTGCTTTGGGGTGATTTTGGGAAGCTGACAAAAGTTATATGCTGGCTGTGTTCTTTGCTACTTTGCTTCCTATCTGTGCCTTTCTTCCTAGCCTCTCCATACATACACAGGTGTCCATATCCTTGTCCTCTCAGGGAGTATTTGTCACACTTTTATGGATGTACATGGGAAGGGAAGGACCCCACAGTCAGTATTTTAGCATTTGGACTAGGAAACCCCTTCAGGACAGGCAGGAGAAACATGAGTGAACGAAACCATGAGCCTTTGCAGGGTAGTGGGAAGGGGCACATGCTTCTCCTGGGACACTGGCTGACTGGAAGCTTTCTCCGTGGTGTTGGGACCAGTCTCTCCAGTACAGCTTTCCACCTCACACAGATGAGATCTACAGGACTTCAAGCTGGGAAGGTGCCTGTGTTGTGGTCAGTGTTGGTTGGACTGGTGTGTTGACTTCAGTGTGATGAGATCTGGGAAAGGTCTGCCCCACAAACCCCTCCTGAGTGCTGCACCAGTCGGTGCTGGGGTGGCCTCCCTTCTTGGTTAGCCCACTTGCCCCTGTGGTTTTTAGCTCATGGCTTGGCCATGCCGTTCAGATCGACTCACTTCAGATGGGAACAGACTCGTTCGACCATAAACACCTTTACTGTGTAAGCAAGATAATATCTTCAATGTACTGCTCTCTGCCAGAGCCCTGATATCTCAGGCTGTTTTCACCTCTCATACTTTCCTTATGGCTGGCACTAGAGGAAGAAACACCCACCCAGTCATTACCACCTCCTTTCCCAGAAAAGTGTGCCAGTTCTTCCCTTCCCTGCCTCTTGGGAGAAAGGTAACACAATAGCTTCCCTTGTCCCGAGGGCAAGTCTGGCTGGCACAGCACACATCCTCCTCGACCTTCGCTCCATCCGAGCCCTTCAGGGAGAGTACTGACCAAAGAGCAAAGCAGCTCCGTGAAAAACAGCAGGTGAAAATTCCTGGCAGTTAAAACGGAGCAAAGACTTTTGAGCCATAAAGCTTGAAAGTTCTGCAGGTGTCTGGCTTTGTTGGCTGGGGAAACGCAGGCGAAAAATCCACAAGATCATCTCAGTCACAGTCTGATGTGCTGGTTTTGACAGAGCCTGGAAGAAAATACAGAGAGACCCTGTCCTGAGGTTTGTCCAATGACTCAGAAGGCAACGTGCTGCATCTGATGGTGTCAGAGGTGCTGGTGCTGCACACCTGACTGCTTTGATCGCCAGAGGTGAGCGAATGGCTGTGTGCTCTCTGCAGGGTGTAGCCTGAAATATTGACTGTACTTGAATGCACTTACAAGTGTGATGTGTGTACTTGAATGCACTTACACCTGTGAGAGTGTGTGTGTGGCTTAGGACACCCTGTGCAGGTGACCAGTTTTGCTTTGGAGCTGAGTAAGGGTGAAATTCTGTTCTCAGCATATCGTGGGTGGCTGGTGGCGTGAAACCCTAAGTGTGGTATAACAAATTCCTTTGGACTGTTTGATCTTTTTAATTCTTTAAATTAAATCCATCTACAGTAACCCGTCCCTCCATGTCTGACAAAGTGGTGAACAATGCCTGCGTGGTCCCTGTGGAGCCCAGCACAGGCTGTCGGTGTAATCCCTGCTTTGAGCTGATCTCTGCTGTCTTTTCTCTACTTTATAATGAGCAGAGTTACTTCCTAACCTCCGACTGTTAAAGCTGCATATGCAACACACAGACATTTAATTTTCCCTCTTTTAACTTAGTGTAAAGCATTTGTTATTTTTGAGGAAGCTGCATAAGCAACTCTGCTTCCCCTGAGCTGCTTTTTCACAGCTTCTCGCTCCACAGATTGTGATTTTTAGTCCTCCTTAAAACCCTCTGCCGGGGGTTCCCCAATGGCCGTGCAGACTGTGAGGCACAGGAGCAGCATGAAGAACTAGCACTGTGAAAATCTGCTCATTGGCATGAAAAACCACAAAGCTGGTGTTAGCAGCAGCAGTTTTGAGAATTCTTTGGAGTCCCTTGAAGCAGTGTGATTATTATGTGTCTTATTTTGCTTGAAATATTTGGGATTAGCATCAAAATGAGCCAGTTCTTGAAGTGTTTTGGTTGCCAAACAATAAAGCCCACTGGAGGCAGATGGGGCTGGACTGAAAAGCCAAGCAACAGGGTTGCGTGAGACTTCTGTCCCCAAGATCTCTCTGCTGTGTGCTTCTAGAATATCGGCACAGCCAGCAAAGTCCGCAGATTACTTAAAAAAAAAAAAAAAAAAAAAAAAAGACATTGTGGTTCAAAGGTTCAAGTTTGAATGAAGAAGCTCTATGTTGACAAGCTGCTTAGGAACCCTGGTTGGGCCAAGAGATGAGGAATCATTGGGCAGTGTTGTTAGAGGTTTTACTCTTGTAGGGTGAATATTCCCCCCAGAAATCCTTTCTGTCCTTTCCTCTCTTTTCCATTCATCCTCTTTGGGGGCCCAGTGGTGGCGGAGTCCTCCTGTGCAGGGTGAAAAACGGCAGCACACAGAATCTCACAGGCTGGGAACAGTGCAGGAACAGAGTAATGGAAAAGATAGGCACCTGCATTTTGGAGGTGGAAGTTTGTAGTCCATAGGCATCTCCTAGACTTGCCTGAAGCTGCTGCTCCTCCATCAAATCCCAGATCCAGAGGCTTTCTTCTGCCCTCCCTTCAGAGTGCCCTAGTGAACAGCCACAGTCACCGGCAGCGAGCGTGGGGAAAAGTCCTCCTGAAACTGAGTCTGCTGGGTGGATTCTGACGCCAGCTTCAGGCACACGCTGGCCTCTGTCATGCTGTTGTTGTTGGCAGAGCTGCTGTTGCGACAGGGCTCTTTGGTGGGGCGAATGGCCACCAGGAACTGGCGCTTGAAGGTCTCGCTGAGGGCGATGTAGAGGAAGGGGTTGAGGCAGCTGTTGGCGTAGCCCAAGCTAATGGCAAAGTCGTAGGCGTAAAAGAAGGCCATGGATGGGGTGTCGATGCCCAGGTGAACAAGCTGGAGGATGTAGAAGGGAGCCCAGCAAATAAAAAAGGCGGAACAGATGGCGACTGCCATTCGGGTGACCTTCTTCGTACGCACCCGGAGACTCCTCTGGGGCAGCGGGACCACGGTGGTGGCCATGTGCTGGAGGATCTTGAAATAGACCACGCAGATGATGACCAAGGGCACAGCAAAGGCCAGCATGAACTGGTAGAGGGTGAACCAGTAGATGTCGGTCTCTGGGTTGGGGAGCAGGAGAGCACAGCGCACAGTCCCGTCCTCCAGGGGCATGAGGCCTGCGTACATCCACACGGGAATGATGGTCAGGAAGGACAGGAGCCACACCAGGCAGATGACGAGAGCCGCAACGCACGGCGTCCGAACGTAGGTGGACTTGAGGGGGTAGACGGTGGCCAGGTAGCGGTCCAGTGTCATCACCGTGAGGATGTTGGTGCTGGTGATCTGGCTGTTTGTGTCCAGGGCGGTGATGATGGTGCACAGGGGAGCTCCAAAGTACCACGAGCCGTTGCCTAAGAGCTGGTGGATGAGGAAGGGCATGCCCAGGAGGAAGAGGAGGTCCACAATGGAGAGGTTGAAGATGAAAATATCAGGCACGGTCTGCTTGCACCTCAGCTTCTTCTTCTTGACGATAGTGAAGATCACAATGAGGTTCCCCATGATGCCCAGGAAGCAGATGATGCTGAAGAGACTGGGCATGATCACATTGGTGTGTGGTGCTGGCTTCTCTGCTACTGCCAAAACAAACCAAAGCAGTGAGTGCAACCCAGAGACAACCTCTTTACAATTCAGTGTGCTTGCCCTGTCCTGCAAATGGACCCATCCCCATCAAAAACATAGATTGGAATGATTTTTAATACCCTTTCCAGCACTTGGAGAGGCTAAGCTGGGGATTTGGCACTTCCTTCTCTGCCTCTCAGTACGTGCAGCATGTCCAAACCTGGCTATGTGCAGGCATCTTTCCTCAGCTCTCCCGATGTTCTTCTGTCCTGCTCTGCAACTCCCCAGCCCTTTTTTGAGGGACTGACCTCTGGCTGGCATGCCTCTGCATTCACCAGCACCTGACAGTGTTGAGAGTAACTTTTATTCCACGGAGTGAAATGGCTTTAGCTGTTTTTGAGGGGAGTGGATGAGGCAGCTTGTGCTTCCCACACTGGAGAAGTAAAGTCTTTCTGTGGGTGCCAAAATCTGGATAAAGTCAATGCTCAAGCTACTGTCAGAATGCTTCAGTTTATCTGTTGTATGGTATGAGACACAGAGTTCATTGGCCATGCAGGCAGACACCTCATGCTTATCTGTATTGTGAGATCTGGGACTGTACCCTGGCTGTGTCCCTGTTCTCCTACCAAGGTTAGGTCAGAGAACATTCTTCTTTCCATCTTGCTTCCCTGCCTCTCTCCCTTTCTCTAGTGTCTTTCCTACAAAGAAATCTAAGTATGTAGCCAGACAAGGATTGGGAGTATGTTTCAGAGGAGCCCTTCAACAGGGATTGTCTAGGAGAAAAACAGCTTAAAGCTGTCTTTGAGTTCTGGATGTGGGTGGATTTCCAAGGCAAAATTCTTGCCTGATAACACTTAGCTTATCCACACCAATGCTTGACTGTTGCTCTTTGGGGTGGGACCCCCAAACATAATCATTGGCCTTGTCCCTCACTTGGGTGTAAAATCACATTTTGAAGCCACAAGCTCTTGGGCACAGGAGGTGGTGTCGAAGGCAATGCTGGTGGTGTTCTCTGTTCTGCAGGATTCCTGTGTGCTGAAGTCTAAAACAGCCTTTCTTAGCTGAGGAAAATCTCCTTTCATCTCATTATTCCTTTCCTATGAGACCTGGTGGGTTTTTTTTCTAGGAAATGGTTTTGTGTGAGTTATTTATGTTACAAGGACTGTGCGTGACAGCCCCTCAGCCTAGGCTGCCTTTCATTGAATTGCAGATGATTCAATGTGCTGCTAATTGGAAATGTTTTCAGTCACTGAGCTGTTCCATCTCCCTAGCAGCAGAAGTGGGGAAGCCTCCTCCAAAAGAACCTAGGGAAATCTTGACAATTAGATTAAGTGGAAAAACAGATACTTCAGGTGTAGTCTTTGCCAAAGTGGTGTCTGTTTGCTGAAGTGGTATTTGCTGACTTTGACCTCTGGAATTCTTGAGTACAAACTTCCCCACATTTACTTTGGTGTGACAGAGAAGTTTGACGGAATTAGCAAGATAACTGGGGCTACACTGCTGGCCTGTGGCTGGAAATGTGTGTGCCATAAATCAGTGCTCTTAGAAGTGGCCATGATGAGCTGCCACTGGCTCAGTCCTTTTGGCATTAGGTAGCAGCGAGCTTAGGCATGAACAAGGCCAATGCCAGAACCCAATAAAGCAGTTCCTGCACCATTTTATTGGGAAGCCTCTCTGCAGGTGTTGGAAAGCAGCCAGTGAGGCACAGGAGAACTAGCAGGGGCCTGAAGGTGGAAGCCAGGCTTGGCTGATAAGACAAAAAAAGCCTTGTCCAGACCATTTGTGGGGGGTTTAAGTGGTCCCTGTTCCTCCTGGTGGCCCATTAATGCAAGGAAATGTACCCTGCTATGAGATTTTTAGTAGATAACCTACAGCCATCAGCACCCTCTTGAAATCTGAGACCCTTGAGCATCCAAAGATATCTCAAGCCTCCTTAATGCTGGAAGATGGAGGACTAGAAACTGGAAGATGATGATTCTGGTCCTGCAGTTCTGCATAGAACTGTTATGAATTCTGATTTCCTTTCTTTTAACCACAAACTCTATGAGTGTGGTTGGAAAGGATTCTTGGAGCGAAACATAAATGCCACATGGTTAGCTGGAAATGGGGACAAAATGTCCCTTTCCTGCTGCACAATCGATACAGTGCTCATGGCAATTCCATAACATTTGGAATGAGCTCACCAGCCTCAAAGCAGGATGTGTGCAGGCCCAAAGGCTTTGTGTGAGAGGTGGGCTGTGCAGTGCTGTAGCACCCGTCCTGCTGATGCTGTCTGTACCAGCAGGACTTGCATGAATTATTAGCTGCACTAATTTGAAGCTGAAGTTCATGTGTTTTATAGGCTGGAGTCAGAAGAGCACATATATCAAATACTCAAAAGTTCTGTCTTTTCTAAAGACTCTTTCATCTTGAGACATCATTGAATCTGAATTTTCAGTACTGCTTTTGTGCATATCCAAGTGAACACATTTTGTATTTAAGTAGCTACTTCAGGCATTGATTTGTCCTTGTTTGTAGGTCTGTGGCTGCCCTGATATTTTTTTCTTAAAGTCCCAAAGGGGCTGCACTATGTGAACTGAATGAGGACTGGGCTAATTTTTTTTCTCTAAGGTACTTGTCGTTCTAAGCCATACCCTGATGTGTAAGAGACTTCGTCTTCACTGCTTTTTGGAAGGAAACCACACTTTCAGAAAACCACACTTTCAGAAAACCACACTTTCAGAAAACCACACTTTTGGTTTCTAAAGAATTGTGCTGGTGCAGAAAGAGTCAAAAACCACATATAAACCACCTTCTGTTGAAGAGCTTCATCAGCTTGAATCATTGAGAACTCTATTGCATTACCCTAAACTATTGATTTGAAAACAGGGTCGTATGGAGAAAACCAGCAAGGCTCTCTACATCCCTCTCCAGCGCTGTCTCATCTTTTCCATGCCTCCCTCCCTGTCTAGCCTGGTTCCTCCCTTCCCAGCAGCCAGGACCTGCGGGCTGCTGGAGTTTGCTGCCCGGCAGCCAACAGGTAGCGGCTGGCCCCGAGCGGTGCGGCGTTCCGGAGCGGGGCCGGGGTCCCGCAGCCCCGGCTCCCCGCCCGTGCCCCCGGCGCTGTCCGCCCGCGGGTGCTGAAGGCGGCACGGCCCGGGCGGGGCGCGGGGGGTCCCACCCCAGCCCCCGTCACCCCCAGCCCCTCCGAGCCGCCGTCCGCGCTCACCTGAGCCGTTCCGAGCCTCCGGCACCGAGAAGTTGCGGGAGGAGTTGCCGGGGGCCATGGCAGCGAGCGCCGGAGCGGGGCGGGGAAAGTTGGGCAAGTTCCCCCGGCGGCTCCGCGGAGGGACGCGCCGCTCCCCCGCGCCCTCCCGGCGGGAGAAGAGGAGGAGGAAGGAGCCCTCCCAGAGCCGGCCGGCAGCGGCTGAGGCTCGGCTGCGCTCGGTTCCGCTGCCGCCCGCCGAGCCCGGGCGGGTTCTGACATCAAGGAGCAGCTGACTCGGGCAGACGCGCCGGGGGCGAGCATCCCTCGGCGCCGCCGGTGGGAGGGAAGGCGAGTGCGGACACGGGGGCTGGGCAGTGCCCCTTCTCATCACACCCCTTCTCATCACACCCCAGGGATGGCTGGCATCTGTGCCCTCCTGGTCACAGCCAGTCTGCGCTCGCCGGCGTCAGGACTGTCAATTTTTTTTTTTCTTCTTCTTTTAAGTAGCTCTGGTCTGCCTTCGGTGTGTATTTTTCTCTTTACAGACACACGAAGTTTTCATCCCCGAGTCATAGGCACAGCCCCAGTGGGGCTGAAGGATGTTAAGGAAGCAAATTACCCACTGAAAACTGTTGCTTTCACCCTCCGCCGCCTCTAACTCCAATTCTAACCTGAGATACTTCGCTTGTAATTAATTCTCTGCTGTTTTCTGCTGTTCTGCTGCTTGCCACAGCTCATTTGCTTCCTAGCTCAAGAAATTAGCTCTGTTGCTAGCTCAGATTTTATTTGTCTTCTATTTGCTTTAAAAATACTAGGCAAGGACTCCCTTGGGTTTTGAGAAGCTGTTTTATTCCTTTTCTTTACCTTGCCAGAGCTGTATCCTGTGCTTTTCTGTGGCTTTGAGCTGATGATTGTCTTGTGCTCCTGGCCGCTGTTTATACATGAGATGGATTCCTCCATTACGGTTTGATAAATCACTCGTTACCAAGGCAAACAGATCGTTCTGTACCTCGGAGCACTTCCTGGACTGAAAAAAACCCATGATATCATGTCAGAAGCCTGTGAGAAATCCAGCAGCAACAGGCAGGGTTTTCTCTGTGGCAGAGCACAGTGCAGTGGATATGGTTTGCTTTATAAAAATGACATATGTCTGTCTGGAAATCTCCCCTGCTTCTGTATCTTTCTTTCTGTAGTTGTAAAGGCTGGCATCAACTGCAGAAGACATTTTTTGGAACTTCATAATTCTGTAGGAATCAATCTGTACCTGTAAAAGAGAGGCCCAGCACACACAGACCAACAATCACAGCATGGCCCCCCAGCCAGATTTGGCAGCAGCAGTTTCAGTATGGGCCATTTTTGTGTAACCCAAAGGAGTTCATCATTATTAGGTTGTCCTCTAGTGGACCAGCAGCAGACAAATCTGGTGCACATTTTGCCCTGGCATTGAAGCTCTTAGAAATCAGAGACAGGCTGAGGCCAATTTGTCTGCTCTGCTGTAAGTTTTTTTTGAGTCTCTGGAGTTGCCTCAGTCAGTGATTTGCCTGTGAGTTTTTTTCCACGGCAGGTATCTGTGGTATCTAAGTTTTGAACATACACAACTTGTTGAAAAGTGATGTTTCTCAGTTAATATTTCTTTAAAAACTGTTTCCTTCACATCTTGGATAAATGATAGTGTTCATCTCTATGGGGTTACTGCTGCAAAGCAAGCAGTGGTTTGTGTGTGGGTGTTGGAGTGTCGTGAACAGGGTGCTGTCCTCTGCAGAGTGCCTTCAGATAATTTAATTTTATGCAGGCTTGAAGTATGGATTAGGAGTGTTTGCATAGGAAACTGGTAGGGAGTTGCTATTGCAAACATTTTCCCTGCAAAGACAGACTCCTACTCACTTTCCCTGGAGAGGAATGTGGTATCTTATAGCTTTCAAAGAAAGAATCTGACATTTAAATATAGCAGTTGTTCCAAAGCACAACTTTAGTTTTATTTTGCAGTCTCAGCTATTGCTATTCATTTAGAAAAGCCTCACACATGAGGAAACTGTAATTCCTTCTTCTCAGCTGTAGAGGCATAAAAACCCACAGCAGCTCTGTCCCTGACATGACAAAGCCACGCTCAGCATCTGAGATCTGCCTCACCACCATTTCTGTGTCCCTGTTTCATTACTGGGCTTTTATATTCAGGCTTTGACAACGTTTGCTTTTCCCTTTTTTGCTTTGTCAATAATCTGGAAGTTCTTGCCCCTGGTTGTGCAGAGTTTTGCCGAGTTTGGAGGGGTAGAGAGAAGGGAGGAATTGGAACTGCAGCAACGGGTGATGCGCAGCCTGCCTGTGCACAGAGCTCGCCGTCGGCAGCAGCAGCAGGCACAGCAATCGGCTCATTATCTGCCTGAACACTTGGAGACAGCAGCTCTCTGAAGGACTGGTTCTGTGAGTGCTCATCTACTGGAAACTGCAGCAGGGATGAGCTCTCAGGGGACCTTGGGATATAGCCGATGAGTTGTGCTAACCACTGCATGTAATTACAAGGAAGATTGAGGCACTAACCCCTTGAAAACACCTCTTAAGAGAGAGATATAGTAATTAACATTTAGACAGGGAACTGCCATCTCGACAGCCTAATGATGTAGATAAAAGTGAGGAAATGGAGCTCAGCCCTTGAACATAAAAGAAAGAAAAATTACTTCTTCCTACAAACTTGGCATCACCACTACACTTAGACCATCCTGTCTGCAACGTCGCTGTTATGAAGAAAGATAGTAATCATCCAAAGCTGCTGCTAGGCAAATTCTGCAACTAGGGAATGAATCTGGCTGGTCTAACAGCGGTTTAACCCTGAAAGGCTCTTGCATTTCAGTAATGAGTTATATTTCCTGTGCCTGTCCCAGCTGGAGATCCTGACTTACGCAACACGAGTGGAACCGCAGCATCCCGTGGGGCAGAGAGCAGCGCCGGCTTCTGTTACCGTGCTACTGAAACCATTTCCCCAGCTGGTTTCACCAAATAATTTCTCATTAAATGGGAGACTTTCTCATTTGCTAAATATTTATTTAGCACCTGGCTGCTGCTCTGATTTGCACTCTGGAGAGAGAAGCCTTCGCTAAGAGCCAAGTTGCAAATCCTCCCCTTGAACTCACTGCTCTCCTTACTCACGACTCCAGACTTACTGAATGGGCCTCTGCATTTTTATTGCTTAGCTCTTTGACTGTGATTATATTGATCAAGTAGCCTAGTGGTGAAGTTTTTTTCTTGTAGTGGCCTTAGGGATAGGGATGATCTCATTCAGGATGTGTTAGACATGGTGCATCAACCCTCCGTGCTGGCTGAGTGCTGTCTTTGTCTGATAGCTGCACATCAGTCTCCCTTCTTTCCAGGCAAGATTGGTAAAGCAGTTTCCAACTGCTGTTCCATTTTATCTCCTTTGATTCTGGAAAGTGGGTCTTTGCCACATAACATTTTCCTTCCCTGTAGATAAGAAGTGATAGCAAACTTAAACAATCTCCCTAAAGCCACAGGCTGAGCTTGAGGTCAAAAATTGACAGCAATTCTCTCTACAACAGCCCTGGTTTAGGCAGCATCTTATCCATCCTCCTACAATGTCTATCTCAGCACAACTTTTGTATGTCACAGAGGGATGTGTACTGAATGTAATGATCTGATTAAAAAACTAAACACAGAAAACTCAAACTTTTTGAGGGGTAGGTTTGTGAAGGCAACTTGGTGGTGACTCACATGCTGCTGTCATTGATCCAGATGTGCACAGCAGTATGTATGGTCTGGCAGGTTGGAAAGGAGCTGATGTTGCATTGGTGCCTGACTTGATTCAGGTCAGTGCTAGTGTGTGATGCAGTTCTGCCCTGAGCTGCTATTAACGAACAAGGAGGCTGAGCCATGAGCAAACTCCTGATTTCCCAACTCCCAGGTTCTGCTTTCCCTTAGACATGAGATCTCTAATGAAAGCAGCAGGTGAATTCCCTTTCTCAGCTGCTCAATAGCTACATGTGGCTTTACAGGAATTCTTCAGCTAAATGGTCATCTAAGCTCTTCTGTTACCTGTGCTGGATTTCTAATTAATTAACACAAAGTGAGCATTTATCTGAAACCAGATGATGACCGCCTCTCTCCCTACTGGCACCTGCCCTTGAAATGACAGGTCCAAGCTGCCTGGCTCATTCCAGTCCCACACTGCTAATTTGAGGTTTAAGCCCTCAGCCTTTGCCCATCCCACTGCTCCCAGCGAGCCAAAGGCCAGGGCAGCACCTTCTGTGGTTTTGTTTTCATTGCTAAAGGTTAGAGGATCCCAGAGACAAAGGCACAGCCAAAAATAACAAGGGGCTAAGCAGGACTTGCCCTGTGAGAGGCTGTCGGGCTGGGTCAGCCGATGTGCTGAGGTCAGGGATGTGGATGTGTGCTTGGTGAAATGGGCAGATCCCGGTGTCCTTGTCGGAGATAAGAAGCTGCCAGCACATCTTGATGTTGGACAGGAGCAGCCAGGAGCCCTCAGGGAGACAAATCCTGCCTCGGGGTATGTATTTGTTGTTAGTCACTGATTCCCTTTTATAAGAACAGGCATTAGCACAAGGAGAAGGCAGCTGTAACCTGAATTCCTCCTGAGTCTGAACTGAGGGGAAGAAAGTTTTGGCTTGGATCTGTGGCTTGTGGATAACTGTTCATGGAGCTCAAGAGGAGACAGAACAGGAGAATTGATGTGGAGGGTTGATGATCAAGAATTGGTGTCTGCCCAACCCAAAATGAGCGCTATGCCATCCTTCTTTTCAATGAGAATTAGGATGTTGTTAAGCTTGGAAATGGAAATGGAAATTACAGATCCAAGATGAAGCAAAAGGGAAAATCTTGAGAGGTTCAAGTCAGGGAAATGAGATAAACTCCATTCAAAGTCTGGAAAGAGCTGTCACATGAAATTGCAAATCCAAGTGTAAGGATTTATGACAGAGCTAATAAAAAAAGTGGTGTTTTATAACCAGAGACTGCAATCCTACTGCCTCAAACTAGGGGTGGTGGTGGGGGCTAATAAAAAAAAGTGGTGTTTTATAACCAGAGACTGCAATCCTGCTGCCTAGTCCTCAG